GACCATGGACAGCACCACAGGCCCGAAGCCCTAAACCCTAAACCCTAAACCCCTAAACTCCTAAACCCCTAAACCCTAAGCTCCTAAACCCTGAACCCCTAAACCCCTAAACCCTAAACCCTAAACTCCTAAACGTCCTAAACGTCCTAAACCCTGAAGCCGAGGCCCGGCCTCGCCGATGGCATAGAGCTTGGGGATCGGATCACCCTTCTGGTCCAGCACCTGACCTCGCAGGCTGAAATTCCCACATAGCATCCATTTAATGCCCAGAAAGTTTTCATTTATTGTCGTTGACTGAAAAGGGCAGGCTGAAATTCAGGAGGCAGGGGGGCCTTTATTTGAGGAAGGTTTTAAGGTTTTGGGATGTTTTTGTTAAATCGGCCCTTTAGGGTTTAGGGCTTAGGGTTTCTCGCAAACTATTCTCGTTGGCTTTCGGACTGCTGGATTTGGAGAGTTGGGTTCAGGGTCCACATGGCTTAAGGATGGCGGGGATTAGGGTCCAGAGAGCGCTTCGGATTCATAGGGATTCGAGCTTGGAGTTAGGGATTAAGGGTTTCTGGCTTGCAGGATTCACGGATGGCCTTATATTTCCCTTTCTTCACCCTAAACCCTCAACCCTAAAGCTGGAGATTGTTGAGGGTTTAGGGTTTCGGCACCAAGGCGCCTTCCGGGTTGATCGCGATGCCGCCCATGGTGTAATGAATGACGGGGACGACCTGTCTGAGGATCTCACAAAGGCTTCAAGAATCCCCCCTTATATAGCAGGCGTTAGGCTTTAGAGGCTTCGGGCTTTAGGTTTTTAGGGTTGAGGGGGCCTTGAGACCCAAATGGAAGAATCCTTATGTTTAGGTGCTCTCGGATCTTGCGCTTCCGGGCTTATCTTGCAGACCAAGAGTGGGGGCTGAGCTGTTGGAGATTTCAATCTTTGAAGCGGCGGGCGGTTTGGGTTTGGGCTTTCGGGCTCCAAGAGTTTAGCTTAGGGGTTGGGGATTGAAGTAGGCTTCCTAGCGGAGCTGACGCTCGACGACTCAAAGGTGTGGAAAGCTAGTAGAAGGGCCTTCATTCTTAGGTAAGTTTTAACGGGCTTAGGTACTGCAAGAACCATGTTCCGAAACACTAGGGGAACAGTATTGCGAAACAAGACGCGCACTTCCCAAACCCGAGCTGAAGCAAATTAGCGGTGCTACACAGCACTTTACGACCTCCGTCTGGCACCAAAGTTTAGGGTTTAGGGTTGTAGGGTTTACGGTTTAGAGTTTAGGCTGGCGGCCGCATCCTGACGCTACTTTGTCGATGCCGCGCTCGCTGCTGGTTGTGTTCTCTGTGTTGCCATTTCATCAGTACAGCCCGATCCCACAAGCACCCTGAATCAAGAATGTGCATGCTCAAAGCCCCAAGACCCCCAGACTCCAAAAGCCCAAACCCCAAGACCTTGAACCCTAAGCCCGAACCTCGAAGCCCCAAACCGACGGCGCCTCGCCGACGTAAAAGCTCTCATCCGCCTCGATCGGGAAGTGCCCAGCAGGGAAAACCGTCCGTCCGAACTCGTCCTTCCCTTCCTTCCTTGGTGCTCAATGTAATTAGGGAGTAGGGTTTCGGGGTAGGGGCCTCAATAATCATCCGGTCTTGGGGTGTAGCTTACTTAGGCGTACAAAGGACTTCGGGTCCGTAGGGCTTGGGGCTTGGGATTTCGGATGCAGTGCTTCGGGCGTTGGGTTCGGATTTGGGGGGTGCAGGGTTTAGGGCTTCGGGTGATCACTAAGTCCCCTTAATTCTCAATCCTGGAGACAACAGCTGCGTTTTCAGAGGCTGCCGACCGTTTTCTGCCGAGCCCTGAACCACCGAATCTGAAACCTGGCCGGTAGTGTATACAATAGCAGGCCGGCACAGGTTGAAATCGAACGTCGAGGGGTGACAAGCTCGCTCCTTCCGGTCCTTCTTCTGCCCAGTCACGCTGCCTCGTTGTACGCAGTGAAGGTCGCGTTGACCACGTCGACCTTGCCGGCAAACTCCAGTAAGTGAATGCTCGACTCTCGCTGGTATCTCTGAATTGACCGGCACCTAACCAGCAAGTCCTCAAGCATCAACCCTAAACCCGCCCACCAACCGGAGACAATCCTGCTTCTTTATGCTATCGCGCTCTCCGCAACCCTGAGCCCAAACCCTAACTAAACCTCAACCCTAAACCCAAAACCCTAAATCCCTAAACCCAAACCATAAACCCTAAACCTAAACCCAAACCATAATTAAACCCTGACCGCAAACCCTCCTCACTTCGGGATTCGGAACGGCTGGCCTCACGAGTCTCGGATTTCCGTGGACACCGGTCGCCTTTAAGATAATGTAAGGGCCTAAAGAATTACCAATACTATTCCAGGGGCTCCTTATTATGATTATGGTATAATGAGCCCCAATACCCTACTCTAATTAAGGCCCCTGTATTAAGGCTTAAAGTTTAGGGCTTACGGTTTAAGGCTTTAGGTTTTAGTTTAGCGGGCTTTTGGTTTAGGAACAAGTGTATGTGCCATCGTTCTTCTTACCTCCCCAATAAGCCAGAGAAATAAAAGGTTAAACTTTCAGATTAATACTAGGTTATAAGAACCCAAAAAGTTTAAAGTTTGGGTGTTGGAGAACTAAGTCTTGATGCTCCTCAAGGGTTTCTCCATCGCAGACTCTCAGGCCAAGAAACCCTAAACCCTAAACCTTAGGGATTAAGGGAACCTCGCAGCCCCACGAGAAAAGGCCCCACACTCTTGGCGCTCCTTCTTGCGAAACCCGACCCTTAACCTACCAAAACCTACTGTTTTCGTAGGCTCTTATCATAAGCCCTCGTATGGAATTTCTAGGGACCCTACAAAAAGTAGGTTCTGGTGGGTTAAGGTACACAGTCCCTTAAAGAACTTCTGTTTCCGACCCCTGATCTTCTCGCAGTCGCCTGGTACCCAAACCTCTCTGCGACACCGGCGATGCCATCCACTTTCATCAATAACCTCAGAGTTACAGGAAACTACAGGTGGGGAGTTTAGGGTTTAGGGTTTAGGGTTTAGGGTTTGGTGAAAGGAAACTACAGGTGGGGAGTTTAGGGTATGTAAGGCTTCTATAAAGCTTCCATAAGGTATATAGACCTTCTATAAGGCTCCTATAACGGTAACTACCCACCTGAAAATGTCCTAGACAGAGAGGTGCTAGGTTTCTGAAACAACTAAGAGTTTACGATTTCGGGTCACGACAGGCTATCTGCAAGAGCTTTAGAAGCCTTTGGGATATTCGCAGGGTCTTGAAGCATCCTTCTATCTAAGGTCTGCATTAGGGTCCTGATCTCCTGAAACTCCCATTTCGGGCTCAAGGTTCGGAGTGCGGGATTTCGGTCGCTGCCGCATGACACCTGAAAGCCAACTCCCCGAACTCTGCACCAAACACCCGGAAAGCCTGAAGCAGAAAGCCAAAAAAACCCGATGTTTGGAGCCTTAATCGTTGGAAAAGGGCTTTGATTTTGAGAGGGGGGGTAGATTGTACCTTTCTTGTATCGGGACGTTCAGGGAATGCGGATTTTCTTTCCGCACACTCCTACAGCAAACAAAACCTCTATCCCATGATTACGGTTGGCGTGTGTTTCCCTAGAAGAGACCCCACAATGTGAAGAGAGAGCACCTCTCGATCCTCATTTCACGAACCATAGAAACCCCTTGGGGTAATGTAAGGGCCTAAACAACTGCTAGTTATTACGATTACCTTATAGGGGCCTTAATAATTAGAATAGGATTTTGGGGGTTCCAGATTATAATTATAGTATAATATACCCCCAAACCCTACTCTAAATCTTGAAGGCCCCTATGTTAACCCTGAATCCCCAAGCACGACACATGCAGCCAAGCAGCCCCTTCTTCGAATAGAGCGTCGTGTGCCGGTCGGCCATCGCTGCGGCCTTGCCGTTCCTCGGGGAATTGACTCCCTCAACCATTACCGGGCCCTTAATCATTAGAGTAGCGTTTTGGGGTATACTGTAGTAGAATTATATTCATATAGGGACTATCAAGGATGATGGTATTCGTAATTTGCGCGTTTATCTTAAGCCGTTTCGGTTTCAGGGTTTGGCCAATATAGGGGCCGGAAGGACTAGACCAGAGTTTCGCAGGGCCCGTTTGCTGCAACAAAATCAAGAAACCCTCAAGGAACACCCTGCCTGATCATTCAGCCCTTATCTGGCTCCCTGGTGAGCCTATATCAAAAAGGTTCATGTTTAATCCTTGTTGGGTTTTAGGATAACAAAGATGTACACTTATAGTGAGGACCCGGTTATGTTGGTTCCAAGGAGTTGTGCTTGGAGGTTTCAGCTTTCGGGTGAAGGGCTGCAGGCCACGGCATTGGGCGTTGTGGAAAAACGGCGAACTCAAAGGAGCCGCAATAGGAATTCCTGATCAAGGCTGCTTTAGGTAGCTTCGCTGCGACATGCTTGCGAAAAGCGGGTCAGAGCAAGTTCTTGGTGTGGTTCACAGTACGATTTCGGACACCTGAGACACAAGCCCCTGCATGCATACCCTAAAGCCTTAAACCAAAGTCCTGAAGAAACCAAAGACACCCGAAAACGGCCCGAGCAGTCAATAGTTTCTGTTTCATGAACTGACTGGATATGTGAGCTATAAGGCAAGGCCAATGTCCATCCCCAAGTGTACATTAAACCTGTCATGTCTTGTTGTCGTTTTGTCGCAAGACTTTGCACACTTTGCCAGCATACGGTTACGACCATCCATGACAGGTAGCCCTAAACCCTAAACCCTAAACCCTAAACCCTAAAGCCCTAAACCCCAAACCCTAGTACACCTCCCAACTCGGATGGATGTCCGACTGCTCGAAGTCCCCTACATTATGCTGCGCCAATCCAAAACCCTAAACCTCAAACGCAGATCCCAGACCCTGAACAGGGGTTGCCAGCTCGGAGGCCGTGAGACTCAAATCGACGACGCGCCGGTCAGAAGTAGCGGTCCAACCCACAGCGTTTAGTTTGAAGCCCTGGGCCAAACTGTAAATCCACAAAACACTCCCGCAAGCCAGGGGATCTACAGCGATACACCTTAAGCCAGCCCCCCACCCTCAGAGAGCCGCACACTCCGTTGCCAAAAGCCTACTGGGAAAGTCTGACGACAGCAGCCTGCCCCTAAGCCTAAACCCTAAACCCCAGACCCTAAACCCCAAACCCTAAACTCTAAACCCCAAACCCCTAAACCCCTAAACCCCTAAACCCTAAACCCCTAAACCCCGAAACCCTAAACCCCTAAGCACTTAGGATTCCGGAGGGCTTTAGGACCGCTGAACTTTAGATCTAGGGTTCAGGGACTCCCAAAACCCCACCATAAAACAATAAAACTAAATCCTAAATTTAGGGTTTAGGGTTTGGGGTTTAGGGTTTGGGGTTTAGGGTTTAGGGTTGGGGTTTGGGGTTTGGGGTTTAGGGTTTAGGGTAACTACATCCGAAAATACTAAACCTTTGAAACCAACTCCAGGGCCCCGGCAGGACGATGGCGAAGGCCTTCGTGACGAGCGGTCAGCGTCATAGAGGGCTTCGGGGGTGAAGAGCTTGCGGCATACAGCAAACGACCATGACCTACTTTTGTGTAGGTTTTAGAAGGTTTCGGGACCCTACAACAAAGTAGGTTATCATGCACATGTCAAGGTGGGGTTTAGGGTCAGGAGTTTGGGTCTGTTTCGGGCTAGGGTGTTGTTCTCCAGCCTTTACATTTAGGATTCGCGACGGTGAATGAAGCTTTGATGGCTGGGTTCTATGTACAACAGCAGCGATGTCCTTTGTCGTAAGCAGAAGTTGGATCGAAACAATCTGGGTAGTTCTCTAAATTAGGGTCCCTTTTACGGTCCTTTTGATAAGGCTGCCGTCATATTTTGGGGACTCAAAAAGGGACCCTATTTAGAGAACTGCTCATCTATTGATCTTCGTCGCTGCTCTTCGTGCAGTGCATACCCACCCTCCTCTCACTCGTTCCATCTTGGCTCTGGGTTGCAGAAGCTTCAAAACTGCCTCCTTCAACCCTCAAAAGCTTTGGCTTTGCAGTTTTGGACTGAGCCTAGCATGACCCCCAAACCCCAAACGCCTGAAGCCTAAACGCCCGAAACCCTGAGCACAGCTCCATACCTAAATCCTGACACCTCCGCAATCGTGAATCCTCCGTTCTACTCTCTGAAGCCTGCATATGGGCTGTTCTACAGCAGGCACTCCTTTTCCAGGTACTTACCTGCATAAGAGTCTTCTAGAATGTAGGTCATGGTCGGTCCCAAGAAAGGCCCGTGGCTCCGAGCAACCCCCCAAACAAAAATCCCAGGGTTTGGGCTTTCGACTAGGGTTCAGATGGCAAGGAAATAGCTTCACGGTACAAGGACTTTCAGCTTTTAGGTCAGGATTCGCTGTATAGTTTAGGAAGTAGGGCTTTCGGCATAGGGTAAAAGCTTGCCGGGTAAATGGGACGAACTAGGCGCATCCATACTGCCTGACCTCTGCAATCCTGTTTGTCCCAACCCCCTAAGCCTAAACCCTAAACCCTAAACTCCAAACCCTAAACCCTAAACCCTAAACCCTACCCCGAACCCCTAGATCTGCTGAAGGCCGATCTCCTACTCCAAATCCATGCGCCCCGACGAGCTGAACACTGCAAGATAATGTAGCGGCCGTAATAATTAGAATAGGGTTTTGGGGGTTCCTTATTATGATTACAGTACAATATGCCCCAAAACCCATTCTAATTATTAAGGCCCTATATTACCACAGCACCCTATAAAGCCACGGGTGGAACCCTGCAGGAATGTAACCGTGAGTTCACTGAGTCCCACACCCTGGGAGGTGAAGGCTGCGCTAGTGCCCGCTCCTCCTTTCGGCTGCAATGTGTTAAGGGTTTAGGGTCTTAGGGTATAGGGTCGAACTCACTACGGCCGACATGCTGGATTGTGTCGGGCATTGGCAGGTCATCTTGCAATTGCAATCCCCATGAGTTCAAGTCACCCACGAACGTGGAATAGCCGTACTCAGCGCTACTTTCCATAACACGCCCCAAACTTTTCAAAGCCCTGCAATTAAAACTGAACCCGTATTCAGGTCACTCCTCGGCCGCTTTCAGCTCGGCGTTGACCACGGCCTGCACACAGCCGAAAGGCTCTCGAGGAGCGCACGGGCACTAGGTTCCCCAGTAGCCCCTAAATAATAAAGGGCACCCTTTGTCCTACTATTGGGTTTTAATAGGGGAATCCCAGAAAGACAAAGGGCAAAATGGAACTACTGGGGAACCTAAGGTATCTTCACAGGACGGCCGGTGTCGAGAGGCTTAGCATCTAGGGGCCTGGGTTTAGGGTTTCTTTTGTTACGTGTAGTGGCCTTTTCGTGCGAGCAAGCCAGCCTCAGTTGAGGCTTACAGTAGGGTTTAGGGCTTAGGGTTCAGGGTTTAGGGTTTAGGGTTTAGGGCTTTGGGTTTAGGGTTTAAGGCTTTATCAGCTTAACATAGGAACCTCAAAAAGTACCGGCGTGTACCCCAGAACCGTGTTCGAATCATCCACTCGGATATACTATAAGATTTGTAGGGTGAGGATACCGTGGCTTCGGGTTTAAGCTAGAGGGTGTAGGGTTTAGGGTTGTGGTCTAAGGGCTTCAGCATGCTCGAAGCTTGCATGACAAAGCCTAAACCCTATACCCGAAACCCATCTAAACCCTACACCCTAAACCCTAAACCCTACACCCTAAACCCTACGCCCTAAACCCTACGCCCTACACCCTAAACCCTACACCCTAAACCCTAAACCCTACACCCTTCACAGAAAAGGGCCAGGTTACAAACATCAAGATCGACCCCGCCGGCTCCAGAAGCGGACCCGGCCTCAAGCCCTGAGCTTCCCTCGGAGCACGAAATCCTGAACCCCGGTGTAGGGTTTAGGGTTTAGGGTTTAGGGTTCAGGTGGGGAGTTTAGGGTCTATAGGGCTTCTATAAGGCTTCTATAATGTATAGACCTTCTATAAGGCTCCTATAAAGGTAACTACCCACCTGAAAATGTCCTAGATTGAACGCAACATCCTAAATCCCAGACTATGAACCCTAGACCCTGAATGCTTTTGAATCCAAAGTATCGGAAACCCATGCCATAAACCCTAAACTCAACCCGATACTCTCAACCCTCAAACCTCAAACCTGCACACTGAACCCTGAACGAAGACACCTGCCGCGTCCCGAGCTCATCCGTGAAGCGTCGGCCATTCCTGAAAACTTTGCGGCTCGGGTCCTTCAAAGGGTTCTTACAGGGTAGGGTTTAGGCTTTAGGGTTTAGGGTTCAGGATTTTTCTCTACGACGATTTCGTAAGGGTTCTTTGCTTGTTGAAACTGGAGGGCTCATGATTTGTAAATGGGTGTGTCCCTACAGTGGTTTACGTGAGTTCTACTTTGGAAACCGTTTTGGGTTAACGTTAGGAGGAAGGGTTTCAGGTTAAAGGCCAAGCTACGGTTTTCAAGTCGCTCAAGTCGGGTTGTCAATAGTCAGAGCTCATTGCCCCGCTTACATGATAGGATCCTTAAGGGAGGGTGGCTCAAGGGGGGAGGGTCCCAGGGAGCTTTAGGGAACCTAAGGGAGTACTAGGGAGAATTGGGGACTACTGGGTTCGAAACGCCCCTTAGAACCCCCTAAACCCTAAACCCTAGATCCTAAACCGTAATTCAGGGAACCCTTTAACTTAAAGTAACCCTTAGAACCCCTCCCTTAAGGATTCCATAATTACAGTTCTACTGGTGAGCCCCCCTTCAACCCAACTCTGCTACAAACCCTAAAGTCTTTCGTCTAGATCTTCAGGGTTTAGGGTTCAGGGTTTAGGGTTTAGGGTTGGATCTTCAGGTGCACATGCCCGAAAGCCCCCAAAACCGTGCAAGAGCCCGCAAAGCAAAAACCCGAGAATAGAGCCAAGAAGCCGAACAGGATTCTGGGGGTATCTTACAATAGAAAAACTATATGTAAGGACCATAAGGGAATTGTACTACTACTTATTCCTTCAGACCGCCATATTAGTCGGCGAGGGAACTTTCAAGATCGCACGAAGCCTGCGCCCCCCGACAACCCGTCAAAGCCTCCTGAGCCGCGTACGGTAGTGGGTTTAGGGTTTAGGGTTTAGGGTTTCGGGTTTAGTACAAACACATCAAGGTTCAAAACTCCTCTTCCGAGCACGTAAACCCTATACTACCCGTGAAAGCTTCGAAAAACCCAAGCCCTCTAAAGCCTGACCAAAAGCCCGCAAGAAGCCTACCACACCCTGAACCCCGACTCTTCTAGACCCCCCAAACCCGCAAACCCTAATCCGCGAAGAGGTATAAAACAGGTCGACGAAACCGTGTAACGTAGGGGCCTTAATAATGAGAATAGGGTTTGGGGGGTTCCTTATTATCATCATAATATAATATACCCCCAAGCCCTATTCTAATTACTAAGGCCCCTACATTGCCGGGCCATGAGATGGACCGTCGAAAATCCGTCCCGCCTGTCGAGCAGGAGGCCTCCCACGCCACGGAGCAACTCTGCGGCCAAGGTCTTCGTCGTCCTCGGGGGCGCAGGGCTTATAGGGTTCAGGGTTCAGGGTTTCGGGTTTAGGGTTTCGGGTTTAGGGTTTAGGGGTTTAGGTTTCAAGGTTTCGGGTTTCGGGTTTGGGGTTTAGGGTTCAAGGATTAAACCCTAAACCACCCTAAACCCTAAACCCCAAACCCTAAACCCTAAACCCTAAACCCCAAACCCTACACCCTAAACCCTAAACCGTTTAGGGTTTCGGGTTTAGGTGCTTCGCCTCGGTGGGACCCAGTTTTGGGTTGAGCGCTGCGTGCCTGATTTTGGGGGCCATACTCCCTAGAATCCTCAACCCTACAAGGGGCCTTCTTGTGTATATAGACGGGGTGTTGTGGGTTTCAAGTTTCATTCTATAAGAATTTTGGGGGCTCGAGGGTTCTGTAAGCTGTTGATGCTCTCGGGTTCTAAGAATCATACAGGGCTTTGGGGCTCTATCAGCCTGTAGGGGTAAAGAGTACCGGATTGGGGAACTGTTCACGAACTGCGTAGGGCGCAGGGGCTTTGTTTGAAGTGCTACGACCTCAGGGGCGCGGGCTTTGGGGATTAGGGCGGCTTTTGGGGCTAGGGCAGCTTGAATGGTTTACGGTCTTCGGGTTCAGGGTTTAAGAGTTTCGCTGTCAAGTTTCGGCTGTGTATATATGAGTAATTAGCTTCGCAGCTCTAGGACCAAACGGTTCATAGATTGGGGTAAGAGGTTTTGGCTGAGGGCATTTAGGGTGTTTAAGGTTCAGGGTTTATGACTTCAAAGCTTACAGCTTTGGAAGCACTTCGCATGTTCCCTGACTTGGTTTGTCCTTGTGGAGGTCGAGGCGGTTAGTGGGCTAATGTAGCGGCCTTAATGGTTAGAATAGGGTCTGGGGGTTTGTTATACTATAACTATAACAACGGATCCCCAAAATAGTATAGGTAATCATTTAGGCCACTATGTTAGACGGGCGTGATGGTGAAGTGTGGGAAGGGACAGGACCAACAGTGCAGGACTCCAGTTGTGCCAAGGTCTCGCGGGCTTACTTGACCGTCCCCTCAAAGACTTTGAATTCAATCCAGGGGGCCCAAACTTCCATGTCATCCTCTTCTGTACTGCCCCGGATGGCAAGGCTGAGACGATTCCGAAGTGGAGATGTGGAGGCCAAATTTCCAAGCATGTCACATTCGCATGAAGCCCTTCTGCAGCGGCAGTGCTGTTGCATGGCCGGCTGCGGCAAAGGTGGCATCTCCTACAGCTGCAGCAGAGCGTTGCAGCCCTCTGATGCCAGGCTGCGTTCCCCAGCCAAGCATCTAAGGACTTTAGGAGGGACCCCTGATAGGGACCCTTAATCCCATTATTTGAAATAACCCTTGTACAGTCCATATATACCCCTTATATAGCCAGGTAGTCTCCATATTAACCCAATAACCTACAAGGGTCCCTATCAAGGGTCCCTCCTAAAGCCCTTAGAATACACAAGGAATTTCTCCGCGGGCTTCGAGCAAACCTGTGAAACCGCACGAAAGACCAGCCTGCCACGAGACCGTAAATCTGGCTAAGGCCTTCAGAAGCTCATGCCTAAACATATTATAGGGGAAAAAATATTTTTTCCCCCATAATATGTTTAGGGGGAAAAAATATTTTTTCCCCTATAATATGTTAAGCTCATGCCTCGTCTCCAAACCCGTGCCCCCAAGCCAAAGAAGTTCCAAAACCACACAAACAGAAGACTCCTGAAACCCTAAACCCTAAACCCTGAACCCTTGCTTTTGGGGATTACACGCCCCGAGCACCGCAAGCCACAGCCTAAACACTCAACGCCAAAAGCCCCGAGACCCCTGAACCTAGAGCCTAGAAGCCCTTTAAACCACCTAAACCCCCTTAACCCTAAACTTAAATAGATCGATAGCCAACCAACCCTGAATGGATAGGATCTAAAAACAACTCAACCCCAAAGACCCTAAAACCCCATATCCTAAATCCCAGCAACGAACCTTAAACCTTGAACCCCAAAAACATAACCTAACCCCAAAGCCCAAAGCAAAGTCCTAAAGCCCAGTGTACTGTCCAAAGCTCTCAGTGGGCTTGTTGACGTCCACGAAGCCTCGGCTCGGGTTCTTTTAAGGGTTTAGGGTTTAGGGCCGTTTAAAGGTTACTCTTAAGTGTGTGACCTGGTTTAAGGCTGCTTTTGCAAGGGTTTAGGGCCTTTCACTGTTCTATGTTAGTGCTTGTTATTGGAGCCTTGGGCTTCGGTTGTAGGCTCTAGCCCTGAGCCCTACTACATCGGCTGCTGACACCCTCCTAAACTACCTTCAACTGTAACCTTAAACCCTAAAGGCCCTAAACCCTAAACCCTAAACCCTAAACCCTAAACCCCAAAGGCCCTAAACCCTGAACTCCGTAAGCTGGAGTCCCAAGACCCATCCAGCACGGCCCTGGCAGTTCGACAAGTGCCTCCTCGGCCCATGAATGGACCTTTCTCAAGGGCTTAGGGTTTAGGGTTTAGGAGTTTAGGGTTTAGGGAGTTCCCTCTAGACCACCTTAACCCCTAAACCCCAAACCCCTAAACCCGTAACCCCTAAACCCCTGAACCCTAACCCTATTAGCCCTAAACCCTAAACCCTAAACCGGAGTTCCCTCTAGACCACCCTCTTTTCCAGGCTGATGCCCAAAACTTCAGCGAGTTTGGGGCTACCGGGTTTCAGGGCCAGGGTCGGTTGGGGCTTTGGGTGGGCTGTAGAGCTTGGGGTTAAGGATTCGAGTTTAAGGTTTAGGGTTTAGGGTTTAGGGTTTAGGGTTTAGGGTTTAGGGTTCTTTGTTCTTCCACTGTTCCGGTCTTTCGGTTGGGGGGGCTGGAGGCTCAGGCACGCCCCTCTGAAGGCGGAAGTGAACCTTTAATCCATGTACCCCTTACGTAATGTAGGGGCCTTAGTAATTAGCATAGGGTTGTGGCGGGGGGGGTCCTTATTATATGTTTCGTATAATATACCCCAAACCATATTCCTATATTGGCACGTTATTCTCTGAAAACACTGAGCTATCAGGTCCCAAGCGGCCGGTCGGATGCAGCTGTACACGGTCCATATCCACCAACCTGCATGCACCCAGCAGCCAGAGCTGCGGGGGGTGTAGGTTTAGAGTTGAAGGGTTTAGGGCTTTAGGGGCTTGGGTACATATGCATATGTAGCATGCGCATGTGCATACCTATGCATATATGTGAACAGATCAGCTCGGCATCCGACCCATGCCTCGCCCCGATGTCGCGGGCGATCTTCACCCCGTCACCCGTGGTCTGCGCACCAAGCGTCGTCGGAAAGTCCGCCAAGTCGGGACCTTCTGGAGCTTCGGCTGGTTAGGGTTGAAAGTGCACGACCCGGTGAGCGGTTTGACACCCCTAGAATTTTTCATCGTGTTTCAATGCGACTTTAAAGGTTCGACCTCATCATGCACGGTGTTTTGCAAGAATTTGGTAGCAGCACTGCCATTGGACCGATGGTCGGACGCCGGGGCAACCGTAGATCCAGGCATCTGCTTGAGGCGGTTGTGGTGGTGGTGCTGTTGGTGCTGGTGCTGGTGCTGGTGCTGGTGCTGGTGCTGGTGCTGGTGCTGGTGCTGGTGCTGGTGCCGGTGCCGGTGCTTGTGCTGGTGCTGGTGCCGCTGCCGGTGCTGGAACTGGTGCTGGTGCCGGTGCTGGTGCCGGTGCTGGTGGCGGTGGGTTAAAGCGTAAACCCTAAAGCCGAACTTGTTCATCATCTGCCAAGCTCCCGGCGATGCTTCAGCAGCAGGCTTTCCACCTCCTGGATCGGTTTCGGCTTGGTTTCCAAAGCGCAGACCACCGTAACCCTTGACTCCAGAAGCACAAGGCTTCAGGTTTAGGATGTAAGGGTCAAGGTCGAGCGTTTAGGGTTTTACGGTTTGGGGTTTAGGCTTCGGGGCTTCAGGTTTAGGTTTTGACTGGATCTGGGCACTCGGTTGAGGGCTTGGGATATCAGCCCTGTCGGCTTTCCCGATGTGGGGTTGTGGATACAGCGCTGGTGTGGTCAGGATGTAAGCTTACGGTTTTCGGTTAAGGAGAGTGATGTAGAACTCTCTTCGTGTTAGTTAAGGTGGACTTCAAGCAACAGAATGATTGGGCTAGGGTCTTGGGGTGCCTCTTGCTCTCTGAATCTACAGTGAAACCCTCAGAAATACTATCCCAACGGCCCCTGCGGCAGTCTTCTAAGCAGTCTCAGATGACGGAACCCGTCTAAACCCACGGGATGGCGCCTCCCCCGCCCCTGCACCCAAAAGCCCCAAAGCCCCAATCCTAAACCGAAAGCCTAGGAAACCTAAAGACTCAAACCATAAGTTTTACCTAAAGCCTTAAACCCTAACCCGAAAGCCTAAACCTTAAACCTTGGACACTAAAGACTCGAGCCATAAAATTATACGACGTGGAACCAAAAGCTCAAAGCCCTAATTCGGGAAATCCAGACACTAAAGTCACCAACAGTACTCTAAATCATAAACCCCTCAATCCTAAACTGGAAAAATTCCCCTTCAACCGTTAAAGTGCCTGTCCTTGGAATCGTGGCCGAAACCGCCGGAGGCCACTACCATCGTGGCGCCGTGCACGTCCTAGCCGAAAGCTCGGGGGGCAGAGGGCCTGTTGTACAAAGGCTTCATATGGACTCTAAACCGGTTTAGGGCTTGGGGTTATTTTTGTTACAAAACCTGCAGCGATTGGGGTTTCGGGCTCAGGGTTCTGGGTTTAGGTCTTCAAGGCTGGGGGTTTGGGGCTGTAGCGTCTTAAGGCCATGGGATCCTACTCCCTCAGGACTTTGGGGTTAGGATGTAGCTCCAAGGTCCCTCAAGGCTTCCTTGCCATCGGGATCCTGCCATAGCCTAAAGAATCTAGCTTAGAGTTTAGGGTTTATGGTTCGAGGAATCTACTCTTTGCTCGACGGTTCTTGTAGGTGGTACTTTCAGATTTTTTCAACTCGTATAGAAAAGGTCCGTTCATGACATATAGTCTGTTATATCTCCCGACATGAATGCATAACGGAATCCGTTGAAGCTTTAATGAGAAATTCTTTGTTGAACTGTTCAACAGAATGTATAGTTTAAAGGCTCAAGGAAAGTTGATAACTCGAAACTGGTAGTATAACGGGCACTAAGATATGTTCCCAACGTGATGGGATTCGGTGGGTGGGTGTTCCATGAAATCCGTACATACGACTTTAATGCAACACTTCGCGGACCGGAGCTGCTGAACCCTAAACCCTAAACCTCAAACGCCCCAAACCCTAAACCTGATTTTACTACTAAAAGGCCCTAAACCCTAAACCCCAAACCCCAAACCCCAAACCCTAAACACTAAACCCTAAACCCCAAAACCCTACAGTCTCGAAGCCCTGGCTTGCGACGAGATGCGACTTTCGTGCCGTTGGCTTCAACCTCGGCCACCCAGCCGCCTGACTGGTCTTGCCTGGCTTAAGTTCAAAACCTCCTTTGGGTTTAGGGTTTAGGGTTTAAGGTTTAGGGTTTAGGGTTTAGGGTTTAGGGAGGGATGGCCTGATAGAAGGGCCATAATAAGTAGGGCTTAAGGTCTGGGGTTTAGGGTTGGAGCGGACTGAACGTCTGGGCGAGCCAAGACAAGCGGAGTCACAGGCGCACCCGCTTGAACAAGAACTCTCAGGGCAAACTGAGCTCTATTTTGGATATGTTATACTATAACTCTTACGGGTACGACAACGGAATCTGACAAACATGTCGCAGATTGTTCCGACCCCTGTAGTAGGCTGTTTGCTTAGGACCCTATATGGCTTAGAAGCAAACTGGGTTCTAGGATTGGGGCTTTCAACCCGGCCGAAAGGAACACATGTCCTCAACCCAACAGCTCAATCTCTCAGACCGTGAATTAAGGATACTGTTCTAGGTAGTATAATTAGGGGTACCCCTTAAAGGGTACCCCTTCTGAACCCTACTTTTGGCTCTCTTAAAAGGGACCTTATTGAGAGGGTCTATATCCCCAAGGGTCCCCCTAATCCTAGCTCCCATGTTCTAAATTCAGGGCTGTACAGGGTAGCGCTCAGGAACTTCACTCTGCAGTCATCCTTTTTGCAACGTTTACAATAACAGCAGTCCTAATGGCTATCTAATCTTTAACCCTAAACCCTCAACCCTCAACCCTAAACCCTAAACCCTAAAGCCTCAACCCTAAACCCTAAACCCTAAACCCTAAACGCTCAACCCTTAACCCTGCCTCCTGAGGCCAACCCACTTGGACTTCAGAAGCAGCCGGAAACGGCCGTTTCGCTCCGTGGCCATCTTCGTTAACACCTGGTTTAGGGTTTAGGATTAGGGTCTAGGGTTTAGGGTTTAGGGTTTAGGGTTTAGGGTTTAGGGTTTAGGGTTTAGGGTTTGGGGTTGGTTCTTGGTTCTCGTGGGATCTTTGCTTTCAGCGGCGCCGGCTCCGCAAACGAAATACCCCTTCACAAAGCGATATAATATAAGGGCCTTGATCATTCCAGCAGAGCAAATAGGGATCCCTACACAGCTGCTACGGCCCCTAAACCCTAAACCCTAAACCCTAAACCCTAACCTTAAACCCTAAAGGTCCATAAACCCTAAACCCTAAACTGTGCTACGGCGTCCTTTGCTGGTGGCGTAAGTCTGGACAAACCGTGAAAACCGTAGACGAGAAGCCGCTGATCTGCAACCGCCACCCTAATTTAAATGAAGCTACAGGTGGGGAGTTTAGGGTATATTGCGCTTCTATAAGGCTTCCATAAGGTATACAGACCTTCTATAAGGCTCCTATAACGGTAACTACCCACCTGAAAAGGTCCTAGACTAATCCCGCATCCCCAACAAAGACTTGTCGAACTCGTATTGAGCCCTTATTCAAAGCCTATGATACCATGATGCCTAAACCCTAAACCCTAACCCCTAATCCCTAAACCCTGAACCCTAAACCCTGAACCCTAAACCCTGGACGCTGAACCCTAAACCCTGAACCCAGAACCCTAAACCCTGAACCCCGAACCCCAAGTTCTGAACCCTGAACCCTAAACCCTAATCCCTAAAGCCTAATCATCCTAATCTCTAAAGCCTGAACCCCAAACCCTGAACCTCAAAGTTTCAAGCCCCAAAGGCCCGACCACGCCCAGCCTGCCCTGCCGCGAAAGTGAGCTCAGCACCGACGAAGGCATTGGAAGGTCTAGTTCGGATGAGATTTAGGGTATAGGGTCTAGGGTTTAGGTTTTTCCAGACGATGGCATCAGGTGTACAGCATGTCTATGTACAGAGTTCTGTAGAGTAGAGGCTTGGATGTTGGGCTGGGCTTCGGCTTGCGTGCAGTTCTGGCTGTTGGCCCCGGGCGGGGAGGTATGGGAATTCAGCGTTTTTTCCGGAGTTACATCAACTCAGTAGCGGTCACACCCAGGGCAAGGGCTCACTCGATATCGCTCGCGAACTAAACCTCTTCAACTGGTTAGTTGTGAACAAACTGTCTCGACAAAACGGCCCCTGAGCCGGGGGTTTCAAACAATGCACTCTGAAAGCCCAGGTCCAGGAATCCTGAAAGGAAACCCTTACAAGACCCCTCAACCCGCTTCTGACTGATTCTATCAATCATTACAGGATACCCTCAACAAAGGACTCTTCTAGGCTCCTGGCAGGAATCTGTAAAGGAACCCCTCAGCACGAGCCCTTATAGCCTTAAGAGGTTTAGGGGTGTCCGGGTTTGGGGTTTTTCTTTTCGAGGGCCTTTTGCGTCAGCAGATCCTATGGAGAGCCCGTCAGGGCAGGCAAATTCGTCCCTTGCCACAACCCCGGAGTTTAGGGTTTAGGGTTTAGCGCCTCAGCGTTCGCTTGGCGGTGTGCCCGCCCAACTGCGAGCGCATGGAGAGGTCCACTTTGGTCCGGTCCCTGAGCCAACTGTAGGTCTCCTTTTTACAGGTTCCTTTAAGGAGTTTTTGGAAGGTTCCCTTAAGGGTATGTGCATGGTTGCTTTAAGAACTTATCGAGTTGGGTTAAGGGTTTTAGGGCTCCTGTTCAAAATTCTACAGGAGTCTTGGGGCTCTTCGCACACGGCTTGATAAGGTTTCCATGGGGTGGTGTCAGTACGGCATTCGAGAACTTCGCAGAGCTTACGGTTGTTGTAATAAGCGCTCGAGGGGATGAGTGTTTAGGGTTCCCTTCTATACTTTTTGCAAGGCACAAGGCGCTTTTTCAGGGTTTAGGGTTTAGGGTTTAAGGGTTTAGGGTTTTGGGTTTTGGGTTCAGTGTTTGGCGTTTTGGGTGTGGGCGCTGAAGGTTTTGGGTTTTCGGCTTCGTGTGTATGCCACTGGTCAGTCCTGCAAACCTCGTCGAAACTTAAAACCTCCGTGACAAGACCTGGATAGAACCCTTTTGAAACCCTTTCCGTACAAACTCGCCTCCCTCTATGTAACAAGACCCCCCGTAAAGCCTCCCGCAAACCCCAACCCCAAAGCCACCAAACCGCAAACAAAACCCGACAAACACAGAGGGAACCCTAGAGGCCACTACAAAAAAAAGCTGAACAGGAACCCTCTTGGGCTTAGGGTTTAGGGTTTAGGGTTGGGGTACCCTAAACCCTAAACCCGAAACCCGAAACCGTTTTGGGGACCCAAGAAGCTGAACAGGAACAATTTTGGGTTTAGGGTTTAGTTACATTTAGGAACCCTAAACCCTAAACCCTAAACCTTAAACCCTAAACCCTAAACCCTAAACCTTAAACCCTAAACCCTGAACCCTAAACCTTAAACCCTAAACCCTAAACCCTTTTGGGAGACCGCCGACCTCGCCTCAGCCACTGCACCGCCTCCGAGGACTCCTGCGCCAGGCGCTCGATGAGATCCGGCCTCGCCAGCCTCGGAGCGCGCGGTTTGCAGCGGCTTGTTGCGTTTTTTTGTTTTGGGGTGTGAGGTTTAAGGTTTATGGTTCAAGGTTTAAGGTTTAGGGTGTAGGGTTCAAGGTTTAAGGTTTAGGGTTTAGGGTTTAAGGTTTAAGGTTTAGGGTTTAAGGTTTAAGGTTTAGGGTTTAGGGTGTAAGGTTTAAGGTTGAGGGTTTTTCTTTGGGGGGTGATAAGGGGCTCAAGGGCTTTATGAGCGCGTCGAGGGGGGGGTAGCGCTTACAGGGTTTCAGTGTTGTGCTTTAGGTTTTAGCAGGGTTGTACGAGACCATAAGGGTTTGATGATGCCTGTAGTAGGCCGATATAAGGTTTCTGGAGGGTTATACTGAATCAGGGTGTCAAGTTCGGAGGTTAAAGGGTTTTCTAATGGCCTTTACCAGAGCTTTACAACCGTGGTTATAAGGGCTTCATTTGAGTGTTATTTGGCATCTGGTTTCTACAGGACTGCCTTGCGGGTTTGTGGTACGCCCGAAACCCCTTGAGCCAAAACCCCTAAACTCCACAACCCTACCCCATTGAACCCCCTAACCCTTAACCCGAAGCTCCTAAACTCCCTAACCCCGAGAAGGCCACGCCACTTGCCGGCGCTCTTCGTGGTGTCTGCCACCAAGGACTCCACCGAGGTCTCAAGAGCGGCGTTGATGCCTCCGGTCTAGGGCTTAGGCGCTCATGGTTTAGAGGACACCCGTACTCTGTCGCAAAGCGTTTACTTCAAAGGCTTCATAACACTTCCGTGAAGTACTAAGCAGGGTTGAACAAGGGCTCATGTGAAGGAGCCGACTTCAGTTACCATGATATATGTGAGCTGAGGGTACACCTCGATCTAGATCTTGAACCCTGATTACAAACCTAAAGCCAAAATATTACAAAACCCAACCCTCGCCCCAAATCAACCGCCAAACCCAAAACCCGCAAAACTTACGAACCCTGCCTCTCGCAACTTTTACAATAATCTTGTCGTAACCATCACAGTAACCCCTGTTAGCCTATAGCAATCCTATCGTAAGCATTCTAGATACCCATATAGCAACCTAAACCCCCTAAACCCTGAAACCGCAAAGGCCCCAAAACACTAAACCCTAAAACCCGAAAGCAACCCCTAGAGCCACTGCCTGAAGAAGCCTTGCCGGAGTTGCCGCCCAGGTAGGGCTGCCTCCGCTGTAAGGGCTTCAAGTTTGATGATTCGGGGTTAAAGCTTAGGGTTTCGAGGAGAGCCCAACATAAAAATGTAAGTGACCAACAAGCATGAAAATCCCGAAAGCTACGGGGATTGGGGGGTAGAAACCTTAAACCCTAAACCCCTAAACCCGACACCCTATCCTGAGTAGAGTCGAGAAGCTTTTCGATCATCACCACGCTGCCCCCGCGATCGAGCAGGGACATGGCCGCAGCCATCCTTCGGAGCTTTTGAAAGGCTTGGGTTTAGGGTTTAGGCTTTAGGGTTTAGGGTTTAGGGGTTGAACGTTTTGGGTTTTGTAGAATGGGTTCTGGGGTTTGGGGTCTGTGGGCTTTCTACGATGGTTTAGGAAGGAAGGGGCGTTACGGATATGGCAGAATCCTACCTTCTTAGAGCAACCGCCACAATCCCAAAAAGTGCTTGAGGCAAGTCGCCCTGCCAGGCCACCACCGACGATCACGGCATCGGCAGGGTTGGAGGTCTCACCGAGGTTGGCCTAAATAAAGGGGACGGCTTGGGACTTGGGCGAAGAGGCTAATTTTTTGTGCACTGATTCTGGTTGGGTCGCAAGGGGTTTTGTAGAGTTGCCATGCGGCTGTCTCGGGTGCCTTTGAGAAACAAGGTCATAGCCAAACAATATCTGCAAGCACTTGTATCGCGAAGTACGTTCACGGAAAGACTGGCTAACTACTCATTCATGAGTACCCAGGACATTTGAAGCAGCCAAGGTGGTCAAGTTCTTCGTAAGTAGCTTGAATGTGTCAGACTCTTGGGAATTACATTCGCCGAAAGAGAGAACATGGACCTGCGTTTGTCATAGCACGGTTTTCACCGCACGGTCGTGGCCTGTCTGGTGCTAACTGTCGCGCAGTAGTTTCTTGTGTCGGTAATTACGGGATGTCTGGTGATAGTTTCTCGCTGTCGTGCGCCCTGATTTCTAAGAGTCGAGAACCTTTTGACCATACAAACCTTAAAGCACAAAACCCCGAAAAATCCTAAGAGGGCTTCGGGGGTCTAGGGTTTAAGGTTGAGGGCTTTGGGGGCTGTATCGAATCCTTGAACCCTCCGGCACCTGTGGTATCGTAGCAGGTACCAGCGAAGGGGCTCCTCGGCGTGCCCCCTGCGCGGCCTTTATAGCCATCCTGGCCGCAAGGAATGGCTTTTGGTTCAGAGGTTCAGGGTTGGGATTCAAGGTAAAGGGTTCACGGTTGACGGTGTTGATGGTTTAGTTGTTGCACTGATCCTTCTTATGTTACCGTTGCAATTGGTGTTCTTGTTATTCATGGCATCAATGTCTTCTAAATTCGTCGTACTGGTTCCCGCTTGCTGCTGCAGATGCCATCACGGCACACAAGCTGTATTTCTACCTATGATGGCTTGATGAAGCTTACAAGGTTGCTTAGAACTTGTAGCTGAAACAGGTTCTGGTGATTCCGTTATCGTCTCTGTACGGTGATAGCATCATATTTCTGGCTGTCGGGTGTATGTATATATATATATATGAACAGTTATCTGCATAGGCATGTTTTGTACATACATGATTACATGTAGGCATATGCATCCGCGCGTGTATGTGCATGCGCAGGTGATAAAAATATAAGTGTATGTAATGTGTACCTGTCTCTGTATAATTGTGAGCGCATCTGTATATATTATATAGATGTACTGATGCACATATAAATACACACATCTGCATGTAGGAATATGTGTGTGTATAAATAAATAAATAAATGAATATAAATATAAATATATATATATGCATATACACACTTGCACACGCATATACGTAACAAAAATACGCATGTACATAATTTTACATACACAAATGCATTTACATTTACACATGCACATGCCCAGGTACATATACGTATACATATACACAGATAGGTACAAGTATCTGGCCTTTTGCGCGTATACATAAATGTGTACGCATCTCTCTCTCTACATATATATATATATATACAGGTGTATGTGTGTATATATATATAGAAAGAGAGAGAGAGAGAGAGAGAGAGAGATGCATGCCTACGCCTACGCATACCCATACACATGCAGATGTGCCACACACCCCAAGTCAGGCCTGCAGAAAACGTCAGCCTTGTCTACCGCATAGTGCTTTGCCAGTAGGAGGATCTCCTCGCAGCAGGCAGAATCCGACATTTGCAGCCGTCGACAGCTGATCTACCTATCTATCTAGCTGTCTACCAAGATACCTGCCTACCTATCGACAAACCTACATACTTCTGCGCATCATACCTAACATAGCACAGCATAACGTAGCATCACCTCACAAAAAACCATCACATCACATACCACAGCATAGCGCCACATAAAGTAACAGACCCGAGCATAGGGTAGCACGGCATTAGCATTGGCAATTGGCTTTGGTTAAATTAGAATCAGCTGTGTCACTAGCATAGCAAGCATGGCATAGCCTGGCATAGACAAGATTAGCATAGCACAACATAATATTGCCTTTTGCAAATCGCATGGCATGGCAACTTCGCATCAGAACCGCATGGCCTACCCCAGCGTAGCATAGCGCAGCATGGCAAGCCATAGCATAGCATAACATGGCATAAAAGGATATAAGACAACATATTGGGTGGTTGTCAAAATTGTGGTCCCTTTTTGGGTCCGTAATATAATACGGCACCTAATATTTAGGGTACCCAAAAAGGGACCCTGATTTTGACAAC